GAGGAGGAGGAGGAGAAGAAGGAGGCGGAACTGCAGAGGAGGGAGGGAGGGAGGGAGGAGGAGGAGGAGGTGGCGGAGGCAGAGGAAGAGGAGGCGGAGGAGGAGGAGGAGGAGGAGAAGGGAGAGGAAGAAGAAGAGGAGGAGGAGGAGGAGGGTGAGACAGGACAATGATGTAGAGGGACAAGTAGTGAGGAGGAGGAGAAGGAGAAGGAAGAGGAAGAGTAGGAGGAGGAGGAGGAGGAGGAAGAGGGTGAGAAAGGACACTGAGGCAGATTGACAATTTGTGAGGAGGAAGATGAGGGGAATCAGGAGGAGGAGGAGAAACAGGAGGAAGAGGAGGGGGATGAGGATGATGATGATGATGATGATGATGATGATGATGATGATGATGATGATGGTGATGATGTTTATGATTATGATGATGATGGTGATGATGATGATGATGATGGTGATGGTGATGGTGATGGTGATGGTGATGATGCTGCTGGTGGTAATGATGATGACTGTGATGATGCTGAGGATGATGATGATGATGATGATGATGATGATGATGATGATGATGATGCTGCTGATGCTGATGCTGATGCTGATGATCATTGTGATGATGCTGATGATGATGATGAGGAGGAGGAGGAGGAAACGGAGGAGGGAGGAGGAGGAGGAGGAGGAGGAGGAGGAGGAGGAGGAGAAGGATTACGGAGGAGGACGAGGAGGATGGGATGTACCGTGAGGAAAAAACGAACACGGGAGGAGGAGGAGGTGGAGGCGGAGGAGGAGGAGGAGGAGGATGAGGTGGAGGAGGAGGAGGAGGAGGAGGAGGAGGAGGAGGAGGAGGAGGAGGGAGGGGGCAAGGTGGGAGGGAGGGACGGAAGGAGGGGAGGAGGGAGGGAGGGAGGGAGGGAGGGAGGGAGGAGGGAGGGAGGGAGGGAGGGAGGAAGGAGGAGGAGGAGAAGGAGGAGGAAAAGGAGGAGGAGGAGGAGGAGGACCAGTGTAAACCCAAGAGTCATCAACGATGTCGGAACAAACCCTACCCCCAAGCTCCTTCTTCATAGGCCCCTACAATGAGGGAACTGCCTCGTTGGAAGACAACCGTTTCAAGACCATGATGCATGCCAAAGCATGTTTCTTTGTTGCGTCTGGACGGACCTGACTCCTGCCAGAACGCCGCTCTTGGGACTTCAACACCGCGAATCAACGTAACTGTCGCACCCCCATAATCCTGTATCCTTCCAACACACCTTTTCTAGAACGCTGACCATGGGACTCCGTGTTTTTTTTTTTTTTTTTTTTTTTTTTTTGCATTTTTAGGAAAAGGACAATTTGCGCGGCGCTAAGGCGAGAGTCACATTTTGAAAAGGAACCGCCATCAACCCGTGAAGATCTTGCAAATGTTTAAATCAAATGTGCGCGGCGCTAAGGCGAGAGCCACATATTGAAAACGACCCGCCCTCCATCCGTGAAACTCTGCAACTGTTTGAAATGATTGTGCGCGTCGCTAAGGCGAGAACCACATGATGAAAAGGAAACGCCCCCAATCCGTGAAGCTCTTGCACATGTTTAAATCGAATGTGCGCGGCACTGATGGCGAGAGCCACATTTTGAAAACGACCCGCCCTCCATCTGTGAAGCAGATGCCAACGTTGAAGCTTCAGGGCCATAAATGGTGAGGAAGTCTCAGGCGAAACGCCGGGACCACCCAAAACAACTAGCTTCCGGGTGCGACAGGGATAGTTTATTTATCAGAGTGAAGGGGCCGAGCGGTCATTCATTGTCCCTGGGTGTGTGGCTGAAGTGGAGATCCGTGGTGGGGATTCTGCTTGTTGTTGTTGTTGTTGCTGTTGATGTTGTTGTTGTTGTTGTTGTTGTTGTTGTTGTTGTTGTTGTTGTTGTTGTTGTTGTTGTTGTTGTTGTCGTTCGTCCCCCCCGCGGCCCGCCCGCGACCCACCCGCGACCCACCCGCGACCCACCCCGCGACCCACCCCGTGACCCACCCCGCGACCCACCCCGCGACCCACCCGCGACCCACCCCGCGACCCACCTCGTGACCCGCCCGCGACCCACCCGCGACCCACCCCGCGACCCACTCCGCGACCCACCCGCGACCCACCCCGCGACCCACCCCGCGATCCACCCCGCGATCCACCCTGCGACCCACCCCGCGACCCACCCTGCGACCCACCGCGAACCACCCTGCGACCCACCGCACCCGCGACCCACCCCGCGACCCACCCCGCGACCCACCCTGACCCACCCGCGACGTACCCGCGACCCATACGCGACCCACCCGCGACCCATCCGCCACCCGGCCCGCGACCAACCCGCGACCCACCCGCGACCCACCCCGCGATCCACCCACATTGCTTCAACGAAAAAATCGGCGCCTGCGGCGGGCTCACTGCATACTTTGTAAACGTTAGGCGCCTTCGGCGGACTTCTTCAGAGCCTCGCGGACTGACGACGTCCTCGCCGCCCCCTCACTCTTGTCCGCAACTGCGGGGTGCCACGTAAGGAAAAATAATGGAGGTGGAAGAGGAGGAGGAGGAGAGGACGGGGAGGCAGGACGATTCGGCGGGGGGACAAGTTGGGAGGAGGGGGAGGGGCAGGAGGAGGGGGAGGAGGAGGAGGGGGAGGAGGGGAGGAGGAGGGGGAGGGGGAGGAGGAGGAGGAGGAGGAGTGAGGAGGAGGAGGAGGAGGAGGAGGAGGAGGAGGAGGAGGAGGAGGAGGAGGGGGAGGAGGAGGGGGAGGGGCAGGAGGAGGGCGGGAGGAGGAGGCCCTCGGCGCTCCTCGGCGGCGGGGCCTCCCTCGAGGCCGGCGACGGCGCCGTGCGGCTCAGCGCAGTGCGGCGGGGGGCAGCCGCAGCACGGCTGGGGCAGCGCGGGCTGCCCCAGGTGCTGCCAGGCGCGGGCCGTTTCGTCGTCGTCGTCATCGACGTTGTCGTCATCACCACCACCATCCTCATCATCGTCGTCATCAGTACCATCACCATCACCATCTGCGTCATCATCATCACCATCACCATCATCATCACCATCATCATCAGCATCATCATCACCACCATCATGATGATCATCATCATTTCTATCAGCATCATAAACCTCATCATCACCATCATGATCTTCAGCATCATCATCATCAGCATCAGCATGATCACCATCATCATCACCATCATCATCACCATCATCATCAGCATCATCCATCATTCTCATCATCAGTATCATCATCATTGTCGGCGTTGGCGGCGCCGTCGTCGTCTTCGTTATCGTGGTCGTCGTCGTAGTCGTCGTCTTCGTCGCTCTGAGGAGGACAATGCACCGATGCTGCTGCCATCCGCTGCCCGTCGCTCGTCGCCACGGACGGCTTCGCAAGTCTCGGTCAGGGCGCGCCCAAGAAGAGCCCCCAGGAGCAGCGGCATGGGTATCTCTGCGTTCCCCCGGTCACCGCCGCCGTAGTCCTCTTCTCCCTTCTCCTGCTGCGCACCACGGGAGCATCCCCGATTCCCCTGGCAAGCGCTGGTGCGGCCCGAGGCCACGCGGCACCCGCGGAGCCGCTCTTCCTGCGCCGCTGCCGGCAGTTCTCGCACGCGCTGGCCTCCCAGTTTGCGGCCCCCGCTCTCTAGGTCCTGCCACTGCTGCAGTCTGGACATCCGACTTTCGATGTGCGCGATGGGTGTAGCAAGCACTGTAGTCCTCACGCGCATTCTCGGGCGGGGCAAGATTAGCAGCAATGACATGACGCCGACATTGATGTTCAACGCTGCGCACGGCCCTCCCCCCCTCCATCCACCGTTTGTCCAAGATCCTCTGGCCCGTGAGTTCCGTATCTGCCATCGTAGTAATGGCTTGCTGGATTTCGAGCTCAGAGCAGAATTACACGTACCCGTACCCCATCGACATGCAGTAGGCGGTGCCGTCCTCGGCGCTCGTGCTGCAATACACATTACGGTGCCTGCCTGCCTAATATGGTCTTTCAGGACACTCCAGTCGATGTGGTAGGATAGGTTCCCAGCGTAGACCAAATTGAATTGCCTTGCCCCTTGTTGTCTTGGCCATCGTCTTTTTTTAGCAGGCCTCGCGCCGCCCTTCGCGTAGCCGTTCTTGCCGCGGCGCCACGGCGAGCCTGCAGCTGATGACGCCTGGAGGTCACTGTGTGCATCACTGTCTGCTGCCAATGTTGGCCCGCGTCGCATGCGTCACTCCGATCCCGTGGCTGGCAACGTCTCTGCTGCCCTTGGTGGCCTTTGTTTGCTGCCACTGCTGCCCGCTAAAACTGTGCACTCTTCACGCGCGCTCTGCTCCGAGCCTGTAGCTGATGACGTGTGGGTGCCCCTCCCTGTACAGGACAAAGCAGTCAGGGGCTGCTGCGCTGTCGAGGGTACCCTTGCTGTCTTCGGTTGGTGGTGCTCCTGCCATCTTTATCAGGCTGGGTCCTTCTTGTTTCTCTTGGGTACTTCTCGCTCTCTTCGTCCCCATCTGGGATTCTTCCTCCTCCCTCCTCCTTCAGCTGCGGGGTCTCCATGATATCGGCGATGAACTGCTGGACTATGACACAGTGTCCGTGATTGGCCATCAGGTTGCAGGCGCCCTGCCCACTGCGTGGCACTGGCCGTAGCTGGGAAGCCACGCCGCAGTGACGGCCTGCGCAACAGCCATGTGCAGGTCGTCGTCCCCAACGCTGCGTCGAAGCTGTCGTATCCGTATCCGCTCCTCCTCGCCCCTTCTGCTCCTCGTGATGTCCGCGTGGTCCATGCGCCCGAGTACATAGACATAAAGGGCGGTGTGCAGCCTTGCTATGGCACTGAATATGTTTCGGACACGGCGTTCCGTTCGAAAGCCTGCAGTTGGTAACGTTGTTGCCACAGTTTGTGCCACTCCGATCCCGCAGCTGGTAACGTTCTCAATGCCATTGCTTTTTCTTCTTGCACGCACGGGTCTGCTTGAGTGTGTAGTTGGGGATGTTGTTGGCTCACTCGCTTGCCCATTTTTCGCGCACCGCTCCGACACAGTTGTTGCCACTGCTTTCCCTTCTCGCACGCACAGGCCCGAGCCTGTAGCTGACGACTCTGTCGCCTCACACTCTCGCACCACTCTGCGCCTGCAGCTGATGACGTACCAGGCCACCTTCGACGAGCACCTCTGCTTGTTGCCGCTGTTTGTCCTTCTCGCATACGTCTTTCCGAGCCCGTAACTGCTGGTCGTTCTTGCACGCCTAGCTCAAGCGCTGTAGCTGATGACGAGAGCTCTCTCTCTTCGTGCATACCCCATTGTCTGCTGCCACGGCTTGCCATTCTCGAACGCACCAGGCCGAATCGGTCTGGTAACATCTTCGCTGACACTGCTTTCCCTTCTCGCGCACACGGCTCCAAGCCTATAACTGTCGGCGTTGTCGGCTTCTCCTGCAGGCGCCACGCCGAGCCTGTAGCTGATGACGCCCCTTCGGTTGCTGCCGCTGCTGGCTCTTCGCGCGCGATCACGTATGGGGCGTCACGCTGTCTGCCGCCATTGTGGGCCTTTCCTCCTCCTCCTCCTCCTCCTCCTCCTCCTCCTCCTCCTCCTTCTTGTCCTCCTCCTCCTCCTCCTCGTCCTCCTCCTCCTCCTCCTCCTCCTCCTCCTCCTTCTTGTCCCCCTCCTCGTCCTCCTCCTCCTCGTCCTCCTCCTCCTCCTCCTCCTCCTCCTCATCCTCCTCCCACGCACGTCGACGACGAATGGAGCCCGTCGTCTGCTGCCACTGCCGCCTCCGACCGGCACGGCCCGCACAGGGCCTGCAGCTGCCGGCGTACAGTGCCCACTGCCTGCTGCCTCCGGGGATCCTTCCGGCAAGCACGGCGCCAAGGGGCTGCCAGCATAGGGCGACGAGATCTATACATATCCACTGCTCCTGGCCAGGCCCATCCTGGGCCCAGGAGCTGTGTATATGCCTCCCTGGCCAGGCCAGGAGGGCGTATACACAGCTCCTGGGCCCAGGATGGGCCTGGCCAGGAGCAGTGGATATGCATAGATCTCGTCGCCCTACAGCACCGCGTGGTCTGCGTGATTCTGCGGACAGCCCTGATTTCTCGAGTACAGGATCGATTCCATCACTGACTAGCACCAATTCCGGCGGCGAGCAAGGGGGGGGAGGTGAGAAGGGCCGAGCCTTCTCAGAAGGCTCGGACGCCCCCTGGCCTGTGAGAGGTTTTCTGAGCCTTCCCCGAAGACACGGAAACTTCTCAGAAGGCGCGAAGGCTTCTGAGAAGCCCCGCCGCCGAATAATTGCTTTCCAGCCGACTACGAACAATACGCAAACTGCTCCAGAGATCTATTGAGTTTTCTAGGTAGATGCGACGGACAAATCAATTCTTGACACTTCGCGTATCCGTAACAGTTCCTCTGCGCGCGCGCCGGCAATTAGGTTCGCTCGTAGCCCGAGCCGACTCGACTCGCCGCTGGCGCCTTCGCTTGCGGCTGCGACAAACAAATCCGCACCAGCCCATTCAGAAACAGTTCGCCAGGCGAGTGGAGGTGTTGTTGTGAAAATTCTCGGGGGTCTCTTGGAACCATCTTGGGCTCTCTTGAGGTCCTCTTAGGGCCCTCTTGGGTCTCTTTTGGGGCCAATCTGGGGCCGTCTTTGGGCCCTTTGGGCGGGTCTGAGAGCTCTCTTGGGGCCTCTTGGCCCCCGTAGCTCAAAAGGAGGGGGGTACTCAATTCAGCCCCCCCCTCTCGCAGGCTCAAACATTGCCTCTCGGGGCCTTCTTGGGGTGCTCTTAGGGTTCGCTTGGGCGCTCTTGGGGCCCTCTTGGGGCCCTCTTGGGACCCTATCGGGCCCCTCTTGGGCCCCTTTCTGGCCCGTTTTGGGGCCATCTCGAGGCCTCGGAAGCCCATCAGAACCGAAACGGGGAGAACGCAACAATCATTGCTTTTTTCAAAGGTTTTGGAGCCATTTTGGCCTCTTGGGGGGAGGGTCCTTGGAGGGCTCGGAGGGCACTTTCAACAATCTTGGGGCTGTTTTTGGGCGTCTTCGATGTATGCGGGACGCTATCTGGAGCCATCTTCAGCTATCTTGAGCCCTCTTGAAGGCCGTCGTGGGCTGCTCTCTGAGGTCCTTTTGGAGCCATCTTGGGCCATCTTCGGCGTTCTGGCGCCTCGCGCCCGCCCCCCCTCCCTGGCCCAGGGGAGGGGGTCTCGGTAGGGGGAGGGGTCGAGCTACCCACCCGCCCGCAAGCCGTCTGGCTCACTCCCGCCCGCCATCCCAACACACAAGTAACACCCGAGCCTGGGCATGCTCAGCGGTCGTCTTTGGATGGGCAGCTGCTGGGAGCCAAAGCCGACCCCAGGTGCGCGACGCTTGGGCGAGGTGCGCCACGCGTGCCAGGGGCGCCACGCGCGCCAGGCAGCCTTGGGACCCGAGCGTGCCAGGCACGCCTGGTGCGCCAGATGTGCCACGTGCTCCGAGTGCGCCAGGTGTGCCGCATACTCCAGCCGTGCCAGGTGCGCCACTTTCGGGGCACGTGCAAAGTGCGTCAGGTGCGCCTGCGGACGTGACAGCACTTATTGAGAAACATGTCGCCCCCCACCATCCTTGTCGAAAACCAATGCCCATCATTGTGTCTGGTGGGCCTGCGCAAAGTAGGCCACGCGCCACCACCCCGGCCGTCCCTGTCAAAAACCTTTTAACAGTGATCGCGGGGCGGCCGCGCCTTTTTGTCAGAGATGGTAGCCCTGTGATGCCCCCACCATTCCTGTTCAATGCAATACAAAGTGCCCGCGGGCCTCACAAACATGATTCAAGGCTTTGCCCCAAAGTGTATTTTGTATGGTTTGTTTTGACAGGGATGGTGGGGTGGAAGGGGGGGCGCATCGGGTTGGCCGCGCATGCTCCAAATGTGGAGGCAGAGGGCGTTTTGAATGGTTTTTTGAAGGGACGGTTGGGGGGGCGTGGCGCGCATTGGGTTTGCATGGTTCTGAGTTGGCCGCTGGCCGGGCGGGGGAGGGGGTGTATATTAATAGGGAGCAATGCTAAACCCATCCCCCGTGCAGGGGAAGGAGGGGCTGTAGAACGAGAGAAGGCACAACTCGTTAAACCACCTACGCCCAGGGGGCTGGTGGGATTTTGGGATTCATCAATTCTGTCGTCGATCCCCTATTCGAATCTTGCCACCAATCGTACCACTCGCGCAGCTTGATGCGTTGTGGGGAGGCGCTGTCTCGGAGCTCTTCAACGAAAGCATTTTGCTGCCGTATCTTGCCGTCTGCGGCTCTCCTTTGCCGCTTGCTGTCTGGCCCTCTACGAAAGAGCTGGGCCGCTTGTTGTTTGTCTTTCCTCCTTCACCTCCTCCTTCTCCTCTTCCTCCTCCTCCTCGTCCTCCTCCTCATCCTCCTCCTCCCTACGTCGAAGACGGATCACTGCACTGACACGGGATGTTTTTTCCCCGGGAGATCGGATGCGGGAGGGCGGGAGGGAGGTATGGAGGAGAAGGGGGACGAGGAGGAGGGAGAGGAAGTAGGAGGAGGAGGAGGAGGAGGAGGAGGAGGAGGAGGAGGAGGAGGAGGAGGAGGAGGAGGAGGAGGAGGAGGAGGAGTCGAGGGAGGAGGATGTCAGCGTCTGACTGGGCATCGATGTTCAGCCACAGCTAAGGGGGGAGGGGGGAAGGGCTGGGGAGGTCCGTGGGTAGCCGCTTCTGGCTCGAGCACGAGCCAGCATCGATTTTTTCAAACCGGCCGAGCAGCCCAGCCCAGTCACACTCCGCCCATGGCGCGGGCGTCGCAGCGGCCGCCGGCCCGCGGCCCCTGCCCAGCCGCCCGCCGTTCCGCGGGCCTCGCCCCCGCAGCGCTCGCGGTGCTGGCGGCGGTGGTCGGACCGGGTGCCTTCGTCGCCGCGCCGCGCCGGTGGCGAGGCTCCGAGGATGGGAGAAGTGCCCCGAGGTCCCGGCGTTTGCCTCGATGGCGGTCTCTGGGCCGCGTTCTCGGGCCTGCAGGACCACATCGGACACGGATCCTGGACGGGGAGCTGCCCCTGAGGAAGGGGTCGGGATCTTTGCGGGGCCGCGGGCTGAAAAGATGGTGTCTCAGGATGCCTGCGCACCACTGCCGCTGCTCATCCTGGCTACCGCTGCCTTGGAACCGGGGGCAGGAGGATCGCTCCGACATCGCTGAAGGGGGGAATCGAGGTTCCAGGATGGAAGCTCGAAGCGCTTTTGGACGTTGGAGGTCTTTTCGGGAGTGTTCTGGGGGCCCCACGTCACCAGGGAAATGCCGCTTGCTCGAGGAACTGCTGTGCCCTGGAGTGTCCTGGAGCGCGCTCGTCGCCACAGCTGGATCCCGTGGGAAAAACATACACCAGTGAGAAAGCACACGCAGACCTCTTCTCTGTGTGTGAGTGTGTTTTCCACTTTGTGTTTTTCCACAGACATCTTCTGTGGGTGTATATGTCGAAGCTTTGGTCCGAATGCTCCCGGGGAGGGGTCTTCCAGGCCGCCCAGGTGGGGTCCGAGCGGATGTGGAGCCTTCGGTTTCTCCACGCCGGCGTCGCCGCAGCCTCGCCGACGTCGCCGACGCATCGGCGGTGCGGCGCGATGCTCCGGCCCGATCTTCTCGACGGGCCGCAGCTGAGAGGCGTCCCAGACCTGGGGAGTACGCGCTGGTGTAGGCATTCAGTTCTGGATGCCCAGGTCTCAGTCTGCTTCAGGTGCCGTCCTGCCTCAAGAGCCGATCTGCTTCTGCCGTGCTTGGTTGTACTCTGCGAAGGCCTGGGCCGAATCTACTTTATCCGCCTTCCTACTTCATGTTTCTACCTGCGCACTTTTCCGGTCGACGTGTGTGTGTATATATACACATATGTATATGTATGTATATATATATATATACACGCAGCGGCATCGGTTCCTCCTTTCGGCGGCGAGCCCCGGGGGGGGGAAGGAAGCGGGGGGAAGGCCCTCGCAGCAGAGGCGGCGGGTCTTCTGCCCTCAGAGCAGTTCCTGGTGTCTCCAGGGAAGGCCCCCCTTCTGACATCCGACGAGGCGACAGGAATTGCAGCATCGCAAAAACAAGCATCAGGACCGGATCGTTCTGCATCATTTTCCGAGCCATATCGATCCAGGAGGATCCCGGCTCGAAAAAAAGAGTTGCAACGCCGATATCGCAGGGCCGGACAATTTCGCAGAAGGCCCCAGGCCTTCCGAGCCTCCTGAAAAGGCCCGCCCCCTCCTTTTTTGTTCCTCCCTCCTCCTCCTCCTCCTCCTCCTCCTTCTCCTCCTCCCTCCTCCCTCCTCCTCCTCCTCCCTCCTTCCCCTCCCTCCTCCTCTTCCTCCTCCTGCTCCTCCTCCTCCTCCTCCTCTTCTCTTCCTCCTCCTCGTCCTCCTCCTCCTCCTCCTCCTCCTCCTGCTCCTCCTCCTCCTCATCTTCCTCCTCCTCCTCCTCCTCCTCCTCCTCTCCTCCTCCTCCTCCTGAGCTCGCCGCCGATCCCGGCCCCCCCAGAGGCACGTCCGACGGCGCCGCCGGCTCACGAGGGGTGCCCGAGACGCGCAGCCCGCCGGCCGCCCACACCGGGCCCAGCTCGGCGGCGCCCGCGGGCGCTGCGCGCTGCACCCTCGGCGCCGCCGCCGCGCTGCTGGCGGCCCTGTCGGTCTCCCGAGCAAGGGCCTCCGGGAGGCCCCGGCAGCGCGGCCAGGTGGCCGCGGCTCCCGCGCCCACGGAGGAGCGGCCGGCGGAGGCGGAGGCAGCCGCCGGCGAGGGCAGCGGGCAGCCGGGGGCCCAGGTGGTCCGGGGATAGAGCCTCAGGATGTACTCCCCCCTTGTTTCTCTCGGCGAGGCGCAGGCTCGCCCCTCCTCTCTCCTCCTCCTCCTCCTGCCCCTCCTCCCTCCTCCTCTTCTTCCTCCTCCCCTCTCCTCCTCCTCCTCCTCCTCCTCTCCCCCCTCCTCCTCCTTCTCCTCCTCCTCCTCCTCCTCCTTCCTCCTCCTCGTCCTCCTCCTCCTTAATATCCTCCTCCACCTCCTCCTCCTCCTCCTCCTCCTCCTCCTCCTCCTCCTCCTCCTCCTCCTCCTCCTCTCATTGAGGTTACCCTGATCTCCGAGGATATGATCTTGCCAATGGGGGCCGTTTTTCTTTGATTTCGGCCTCCAGGGCCCGGCATCGGGCCCCAGGGCCATCAGAAATAGATCTGGAACGACAGACGCCCCCCCCCCCAGGAAGGGGTCAGGACTTTGGGACCGCGGATTGAAACACAACGTCATATTCCTAGGCCTCCCAGATGGGGCCGGAGTAAATGGGATCGGAGGATTTCGCCGCATCGCCGACACATCGGCGATGCATCGGTGATGCGGCTCGATGTGGGGCCCAGTTTTCTCCACGCCGACGTCGCCCATGCGGCGAGATCCTCCGACCCCATCTGCTCTGACCCCATCTGGGAGGCCTCTGGTGTCGGAGGATGTCTGGGCATGGGCGACGGGAGAACACTGGGCCGACTGCGCCGGCATTCGCGCGCACGCTTCCCGCGTGAGGCCGCGCGTACGCCACCGCGTGAGGGCGCTGTTGTCTAGACCAGCTTCTTTTCGTCCCCTACCAGATTTCCCAATCCCGGCCGCTTCCCTCGGTCTCGGCCCCCGGGGGCCCGCCATGGGGCCGCAGGGCCAGCACAGGTGGATTCTGGACGCAGGGCGAAGAAGAGCAAACTGTTCGGAGGTCGGCGCAGAGCCCTTGGATCGGCGCTGGCCCTCCCCCCCCCAGGCGCCTTTGGAGACGCCGCCAGGGGGGCCTGGCGCCGATCCTAGAAATTGGCGCAGAGTTCCGACAGTTCATGCTACATGCTATGTTGTTTTTTCTTTAAGCGATGATGATGCTGATGATGATGGTGATGATGATGACGACGATGACGATGATGAACACGCTGATGGTGACGATTATGACTATGACGATGATGCATATGGTGACGATGATGATGATGATGATGATGATGATGATGATGATGATGATGATGATGATGATGATGAGGCTGATTATGATGCTTGTGCTGCTGATGATGATTTTGGGTATGATGAATAGTGTGATGATGATGCTAGTGATTCTGATGGTGTGATGGTGATGCTGATGATGCTGATCATGATGATGATGATGACGATGAAAACCATGCTGATGCTGATGGTGGTGATGATGACCATGGTGGTGGTGATTATGATAATGATTATGATGATGCTGCTGATGATGCTGCTGATGATGATGATGCTGTTGTTGGTGACGGTGATGGTGATGATGACGACGATAATAAGGATGATGATGATGCTGCTGATGATGATAATGACCATGATGATGCTGATGATGATTCTGATGATCATTATGCTGATGGTGGTGCTGCTGCTGATGATGCTGATGATGATGATGGTGCTGCTGTTGATAATGATGGTGATGATGGAGATGCTGATGATTGTGATGATGACGATGATCATGAGCATGATGCTGATGATGACGATGCTGATTATGGTGGTGATGATGATGGTGGTGGTGGTGATGATGGTGATGATGATGGTGATGCTCATGCTGCTGATGATGATTGTGATGCTGTTGCTGCTGGTGATGATGCTGATGATGATGCTGCTGCTGATGATGATGATGATCATGATGCTGGCGATGATGATGATAACGACGATGATGATGATGATGATGATGATGATGATGATGATGATGATGATGACGATGATGATGATGATGATGCTGATGCTGATGCTGATGCTGATGCTGATGATGATGCTGACGATGATGATGATGATGATGATGATGATGATGATGAATGATGATGAATGATGATGATGAGCTCGATGATGCTGATGATGCTGCTGATGATGATGATGATGATGATGATGATGATGATGATGATGATGATGATGATGATAATGATCATCGTCATCATGACGATGATGACGATGATGTCGAGAGGAGGAGGAGAGGAGGGAGGGGAGGAGGAGTGAGGTAGGAGAGGAGGAGAGTATAGGAGAGCCAGGGGAGAGGAGGAGGATGAGGAGGGGAGGAGGGAGGGGAGGAGGAGGAAGGAGGAGGAGAGAGATGAGAGGAGGTGGCGGGTGAAGTGGTGGTGCTGGTGATTGTGGAGGTGGTGATGATGGTCGCGACCTCTGGGGCCACGGATTAAAACATTTCATATCGGAGGGTGTCTGGGGGTGCAGGCACAGCCGGTCGTGACGGCCGGCGGCGCGGTTTCGCTCAGCCAGGGCTCGTTCCCAGGCAGCCTGCAGAGGATGTGGACCAAGAACGATTTCGTCCACGTGCACGCGATCTCAGGCGCTGCGCACACGCTGATCGGCTTCGTCTACCTCGTGGACGTTGTTGCGGGCCACCTGGCTCGCATGAGCGGAGCGGCCTGGACCGACCACGTGTCGTTCGATGCGGTCCTGTGGTCCATGGTCTTCGGCGCTGTGAACGCGCTGTCGGGCATGCAGCCATCGCTGATCCCAGGGAGGGTCAGAGACCTGCCGCAGCTGTTCGGCTTCGGCGAGGACGGGAACCTCAAGGCTGCTGGCTTCTTGAACACGTGCAGCTTCTATTTCTTCCTGACTTACCAGAGCGTGCGCGGGCTTCCCGAGTACCCCACGTGGCTCATGCCTTTCGACCCACTGTTCGCTCTGTTCACAATAGCCTTCTTGATGCACGCCATTTTCATTATCAACAGTTGGGTGGGGAAGGGCCTCAGTCAGGGCTTGGCGATCGGCATCTGCGCTCCGCTCATGCTCAACATGCCAGTATCGCTGCACCTGCTCTTCGAGGGCCAGTCGTGGATTGCTGCGATCACCGCTGCGTACCCTGAATGGTCGCAGCTCTTCTTCGTAGCAAATTACTGCTTGGCGTGGGCCGGCTCCGTCGCTGCCTTTGTGTTGTCACTGTACGAGCGGCGAGTCATCGACCTCACCCAGCGGCTCATCATCTTCCTGCTCATCGGGCTCTTCTTCTTCGTCCTGATCCCTCTGGAGGCATACCAGGACGTGCCGTCATGGTTCAACGGCGAGTGGCAGGTGATGCTGACGCTGATACCACCGGCACCTCTAGCGGCGTGACCCGGGTGCCCGCCTGGCGCCCCCACCGCTGAGGGCAGGCGGAGCGTAAACGCGCCTCCAGCGAGGGGGGGTTGGCGGAGGTGGGGCGGAGGGCTGGGGCCCGGGGCCTTGGCATCGCTCGGACGTGTGCGTTTTGTCCTCGGCGAGGACACTACAGGAGCATCCTTGATCATCTGGCGAAAAAGCCACGCACGAGACCGAAACAGAAACACAGGGAGTGGACGTCCGGGCGACGGCGGGGGGCGGGCGTGCAGGCATGTACGGCTCGTGCCGTGCCCCCCTCGGGGCGGGGCTTCGCCCGCCGCCGGCGCCCGGGGGAGGTTGGGCCGCGGAGGCCCCGGCGGGCAGGGGGCGCGGAGGTGTTCGGGACCCCCGGGGGCCAAGACTCGGGAGGAAAAGAAGCACACAGACACAATGAATCCTCGATTCCCCAGAGAGTATGGGAGAATGTGGGAAGTGGGGGGGGAGACAGAACTCCATAGCATATGGGGAAATCGGGGGAATCTTCTTATTTGTGTGTGTATTTTGTTTTTGTGTGTCCTGGGGCCCCTTCATTCACATCCATCGCCCCCCCTGGGGGGGTCCCAGCGCGTCAGTCTCCCGGGCGGTGGCCAGGGATGACGCCTCGCCTCGCACGTGCAGTAGGTTCGGGTCGTGTCGACGCTGCGGCGACCTGCAGCGGGTGCGTTCAGGGTGGAACGACGCCAGGTGCGGATCGGCTGTCACCGAACGATCCGCACCATCGGGAAGCTGCGATCGATTCAGCTTGTGAACGACTCGTGCGGTGTCCGAGACCCGCTCTAACGCTGTCACGGCGCGAACCAGCCGCAGGGAGGAGATTGCTCGACTCCAGGTACGGCTTGAGCGAGTGCATGCCCAAACGTACAGGGATGCGGGGGGAGGAGGGGGGGGTGATAGGGGGGAGGAGGGAGGAGCATGGAGGAAGAGGATGGAGGACAGGGGTGGGAGTCACAGATGGATGGGAGGCAAGCGGCGGGAGGGCATGGATGGGAAGCGAGGGCAGGGCTGGGAAAGGACAAGGGCAGGGAGGGGAAGATGTGGACCAGCAAGAGGAGGTGGAAGGAGAAATGGGCTCGCGCATCGCTGGGAGCGGGGTCAACCGTCGGAACCGAGCGTGGGCGCCCAGACCCTGCAGACGGACTGCCGAGCTCGGCGCACGAAAAGCGTCCTCGAGCTCCTCTCCGGCGCACCCACGGCTGGCAGGAGGACGAGGAGCCCCGGACTGCACTCGAGAATGGTCCCGAGCCTCCTCCTCGCGGCACTCGGGCCGAGCCGAGAGGACGCTGCGCCAACCCGAGCCAGTGAGTCAGAGGGGAAGCATAGTCACATGTGCAAGTAAACGTGCGGTCTCTATCCGTCGCACGCTCGCAGAGCGCGGCAGGCGTGGCATTTCCTCGACACCAGGGGGGTGCGCAGGGGGTGCGGTCTCTGTCCGTTGCACGCTCGCGAATCGCGACAGGCGTGGCATTTCCTCGACACCAGGGGGTGTATTTCCAGGAGCACACGGGAAAGTATTGGAAGCGGAGGGGAAGACGAGCAGCCGGGGAATATGGACAGAGTATGGGCAACCCTGGGATCTGTATGGATTTCTTCTTTCTTCCTGGCGCCTCGCCCACGGCCCGGCTGCACACGCCACCCACCGTGGGCAGGCGAGACCCGACGTGTGGACAGCGCGTTACACACCTTTGTCGACACGCCACCCTTCCCCCTCCTCCTCCCCTTGCTCCACCTTCCTCCTCCTCCTCCTCCTCCTCCTCCTCCTCCCCTTCCTCCTCCTCCTCCTCCTCCTCCTCCTCCTCCTCCTCCTCCTCCTCCTCCTCCTCCTCCTCCCATCTTCCGATTCCTCACCTCTTCTTCGTCTTCTTCTTCGTTTTCGTTTTCGTAGTCTTCTTCTTCTTCCTCATCCACTTTCCCCTCGTCCTCCTCATGCTTCTGCTCATTGGTGTCTCCTCCTTCTCCTCATTGCCCGCTTCCTTTCTTCCATTTCTTATGGACGGGGTTATTGTGGATCACAACAGCCTAAGGTTTGGTTCCCTATTAGTTGTGGTCCAACATACTTTGGACGCCGTCTTACTTTCTGCGTTGATCCTTTCATTCTAGACGCCCCGCGTAACCCCACCAGTCCATCCAGAAACGATGCCAAGGCGAGTTGCCCTGATCAGGAATGTGGAGGAGCATGCCGTGGAATAAGGGGTTAGGGGAGTTGTCAAATTCCAAGAGGGGAGGACGGAGGAGGAAACGGAGGAGGAGGAGGAGGAGGAGGAGGAGGAAGGAGGAGGAGAGGAGGAGGAGGCGGAGGCGGAGCGGAGGCGAGGAGGAGGAGAGGAGGCGGAGGAGAGGAGGAGGAGGCGGAGGAGGAGAGGAGGCGAGAGGAGAGGAGAGGAGAGGAGCGAGGGGAGGAGAGGCGGAGGAGGAGGAGGGCGAGGAGGAGGCGGCGGCAGGAGGAGGAGGAGGGGGAGGAAGGAGAGGAAGGGAGGAGGAGGGAGAGGGAGAGGAGCGGCGGAGGAGGAGAGAGGAAGGAAGGAGGAGGAGGAGGAGGAGGAGGAGGAGGAGGAGGAGGAGGACAGAGCAGGGACGAGGAGGAATAGGCGGATGAGGAAGAGGAGGAGGAGGAGGAGGAGGAGGAGGAGGAGGAGGAGGAGGAGGAGGGTGAGCGAGCAGAAACGCCAGAGGCCTCTTGGATTGGATGCCTCTCGAGGTCTCTTTGGATGTCTCTTGAAAGCTTCTTGGGGTCCGTTTGGGGCGTTTTGGAGGCCTCTTGGCGGACCCGGGGGTCTCTTGGAGCGTCTTGGGTGCCTCGGCGAGCTCGTTGAGGCCTCCTGTGGGTTTCTTGCGAGCCTCTTGGGGGCCCTCTTGGGGGCCTCCTGGGGGCCTCTTGGGGCCTCCTGGGCGCCTCTTGGGACCCTCTTCCTGGGAGCTTTGTGGCCATCTTGCGGCCATCTTGGACGAGATTTATCGAAAAAGGGGGGTAGAAAATTAGCGGCGCCCCCCCAGGAGGCCCAAATGGGTCCAAATCCTTATCCACCAGGGCCTCAGCATGTTCAGCGGTCGTCTGTGGATGGGCAGCTGCTGGGAACCAAAACAGACCCCATGTGCGCGATGGGGCGAGGTGCGCCACGCGTACTAGGCGCTCCAGGTGCGCCAGGCACTCCTGGGGCCCAAGCGTGCTAGGCACGCCTCGCGCGCCAGATGCGCCACGTGCGCCATGTGTGCCGCATGGTCCAGCCGCGCCAGGTGCGCCACGTCTGGGGCACGCGCAGAGTCTGCGAGGTACGCCCGCGCACATGACAGCACACATCGGCATCCTTGCTTCAAACCAGTGCACAAGCGCGGCGGGGAGGCCATCGTGATGTTTTGGTAAACCTGCGCACAGTAATCAATATGCCAGCACCCCCGCGGTCTTTGTCAAACATCAGTGGACACTGATCGCGGGTTGGCTGCGCATGATCTAGATATAGCCGCGAAATGAATGTTGCATTGTATTTTGCATGGATGGTGGCCTTGCGCAGAGCAGGCAATATGAGGCCCCTCCGCCCTCCCGCATCTCTGCCAAAAAGCAATACGGAGCACACTTTGGGGCAACTTCTTGGGCCATGCTCGTGGGTCCCGCGAGCACTTTGTATTGTTGTTCGTCAGGGATGGCAGCCTTGCGCAAAGCAGGCAATATGAGGGCATCCCCGCCGTCCTGGTCCAAGGACAGTGCGAATTGCTCGCGGGGCCCACGAGCATGACGCAAGATTTGCCCCAAAGTGTGCTTCGTATGTTTTTTTTGACAGGGATGCGGAGGCTTGGGGGTCATATTGGCTTTGGTTGGCTGCCGGTCGCCTTGGGGAGGGGCTCGAGGGGGTGTTTATGAACAGACAACAGTGATCACACCTCCCCGAAGGGGAACAAGGGGGTTGAAAAAGGAACCCGCTAAACCACTCACTCCCTAAAGGGCTGGTGGGATTCCGAAGGATGTAGGGGCGAAACGATCTGGGTGGTGCCAGTCCGTACGGCTTATCGCAACGTGCAGTCGAGTCTTTGGAATCGCTCGCTTGTGGCTCCTTGTTTCTCCAAACTTAGAGTTGGCAGTGATCCGTGGACATACGGACAGCGGACTTCTTCGGGATTTTGGGGCATGCAGGATCGTTGTCGGAGGTCTCGGTTTCTTGGAAGCAAGCGATCCATAGGATGAGTCAACCAGATGTCTCTGCTGGGGCGTACGGGAAGCCGTGACGCTTCCTCTCAGCGCTGTCGGTCGCAGAGGCAAGCCTGGCGTGACGGTGGTTCTGCTTTTGTGTCCGCCCAAAGCGGCGGCTTGAGACATCAGCAGGGCGAGGATCAGGAGGCTCAGGATGATGATGATGATGATGATGATGATGATGATGATGATGATGATGATGATGATGATGATGATGATGATGAGGCTCAGGAGGAGGAGGAGGAGGAGGAGGAGGAGGAGGATCAGGAGGGTGCGGAGCAGGAGGGTGAGGATCAGGAGGATGAGGATCAGGAAGATGAGGACGATGAGGATCAGGAGGGGGAAGAGGAGGAGGATCAGGAGGGTGAGGCTCGGGAGGATCAGGATCAGGAGCACGGCGAGGAGGATCGGGAGGGTGATGGGGGTCAGGAGGACGCGGACCAGGAGCATGATCATCGGGGAGGTCTCGAATGCTGCTGCCCTTCCGGACACCTGCCGGGGCCTCCTTTCCGGACCTCGGCGTCCTCCTGCAAGTGAGCAGGCGTTGGCGCACCGGCGAGCCGAGGGCCACGGCCGCGGGGGCCCACTGGGAGCTTCCAGTAGGAACCCTGCCAGGCGCACACGCCTGCCCCTCTACTGGAGGAGTATTCAAAAATATTTAAAAAAATATCAGGGGACGATTTTTTCTACCGTTCTAGAGTGTTCTAGAGGGACATGTTCTGATTCTTTTTCATTCTTCGTCCAAAATCGGCCTGTAGGGGGGCAGGCCCGACTTAAGAATAGAGAGAGGAAGGGGCCAACCGGTGCACGGACAGTTCTGCCGGTGTTGGGCGTCGCGCAGGGCTTGGGGGGGGCGATCGGTGGGGGGGCAGCGAGGGCGGCAGGCCAGGGGCTCGTTCGGGCTCCTGAAGGGGTCCTTGAGGGCCCCAAAAGGGGCCTTCAAGGCGCGACGAGTGCACTGTCCTCCCCCCCCCCATTTGTTCACCCGATGAAGCGTTCAGTCGGGTGTGTCCTTCCACAGCCGGAAATTCAAAAATAGTCTAAAAATAATCCGTGGGCCATTATTCGATTATTGTTCGATTATGTAGGAATGTTTTCTTGACTGTTTTTATTTGTCGTCCAAGACCCGCCTGTAGAAGGACAGGCCCGACCTAAATGAAGCGACGCCCAACGGTGAGGGCACCATTGCGCCGGTGCAAGCCATGTCTCGTCGGGCACCCTCGCGACGGGGAACCGCCAGGAGGGGCCCGTGCGCGCGCAGCTCGTGAGGAAGTCTCGAGCGGTCCGCTTTACCTTTCCAGAGCCCCTGCGATCATCACGGTGTAGCCTGCGTGGCTCTGGGGCACCCCAGAAGGGGAGCCGCCAGGTGGCACATCGCGGGCCAGCTCGCGCCCAGAGTGTGGGTATGCCTCGGAGTTGTCCCTCTTTGGAGTGGGAGGAGGAGGAGGAGGAGGAGGAGGAGGAGGAGGAGGAGGAGGAGGAGGAGGAGGAGGAGGAGGAGGAGGAGGAGTAGTAGTAAATAGTAGTAAATAGTAGTAGTAGTAGTAGTAGTAGTAGGGTTGGGGGGGTTGGACGTGCCTCTTCTTGGAGTTGTCCCCTCTGGGAGCGGGCGAGGGGTTCGGACGTGTCCCTCTCTTCAGAGCCCAGCTGCAATGGCAGTGCAGCGCGCGTCGCATCCGAGCGTCCCCCGGGAGAACCGCCAAGGGGGGTGCCTCGCGGGCCTGTTCGCGCTCGGACCCAGGCTGGCAGGGGTGTCTCGAGCGGCT